CGCACATGTTCAGTTAGACACGGGAATGATTCTATATAAACGGTTGGAAGGAAACGTCCATATGGGTTCGATGACGGCTTCAAAGCTCGGGCCGGGTTGAAAGAATTACAATTCCATTGTACACAAATTGGTCTCTACCTCTGTCTACCCAAGTTCGAAAAACGGCAAAGACTGTCGACTAGCATTGTTGTCGAGTACCGTCGCCCTGGGGCCCTATTACATCAGCGCCCCTCGCAGTAGAAAGGCACCTGCACGCACCCAGACCACCAGCCTCTTTTCTTTTCTTTTTATCCATATTCTTATTTCTATTGTTATTCGTATTATTATTCCAGTCCTAATAGCCTTTCTGTTGTTCAGTAGATACCACGTAGGTGGGAATGCCATTTCTTTTGGGGTGGGCGTGCCACCCTACCATGATAGCCACCTTTGTTGTCAGTCTCTGCGGGCAATACGTGTAATAAGATTGCAGATGATAAGCACCTAGCTATCTAGCAAGTAGTGTTGTTGAAACACCGCATCTGCGGGAATATCGCCCGTATCTGACAACGGGGAAAGAAACAAGCCCCGTGATAGAAACAATGGTAAGCAGCCGGAAGCGACAGTCTGCTAGGTCCGAAGGCCGAGGGGCTATGAGCTGTGCAGCTTCTTAGCGCCTCGTGTCTGAGGTTGAGGATATCCTCGGACACCTTATGTAATCAAGCGCGGACCTAAACAACGGGCCGAGTCACGGCTCTAACACAAACGGAATGTTGGAAAGCTCTCAAGGAAACGAAAAAGGAAATACACAAGAGGATATAAAAAGAAACTGACATGTAGGAAAAGAGTAATCTCAAATCGCGCGAATGTCTTGGTCCTGTTGTTGAAACATGAAACCCCAAGTTCCAGAGAGGTTGCCAACGTCCAAGATCAATCCCTCGATAAAGGAGAGGGCTGACCAGCAACGTAGCTGAACGTAATTAAGCTGATTTTAATGTTTAACCAGCCAAGGTTTATGTTGACTGGTTACCTATTTTTCAGCAGCGTGGAGATGGTGTGGAGAGAGCTTCTTAGGGCTCTCCCTAACCGACGGGAGCGGTCCCAGTGACGACCCGGGCGCTCAACCGCGTCTGGCTCCTAGTCGTAGTTGATGAATTCGTCAAAGATGCTGTCGTCGATGGATTCCACGTCGATAAACTCGACGCCGAACGAGGTGTCGGTGCTGGCGGAGGTACTGTTATACACCGAGCCACCGTAGCCGGCCGAGGGGTTGTGGCCGACGTAGGGGTCGTGGCCGACGTAGGGGTCGTGGCCGACGAAGGGGTCCTCGTTGGAGAAGTTGTTCGATCCATTGTCCGAGTCAGGCATGGCGTGCTCGTTGAATGCGGTGGGGGCGCTCGGGTTCAAGCCGTTCCAGACCCACCCGATTGGTCCGTCGCCCGACGGTACGGGCATCGGAGGGGGAGCCGGGGGCGCCATGATACCTTCCGTGTCTTGATTGCGTTGGGCCTCTTGTTAGCAGATATCGGGGACGATGCGTCTCCTCGTGCGATGGGAGAGGGTTAGATCTCACCAACAGGCATGCTGTCCATGGCGGCTTCATATGACGGCCCACCGGAGAAGCCTGGGACCTGGTAGCCAAGCATGACGGCGTCCTTGCCGCATAATACTACGTCGGTTTCGAGCTCGGTAGCGACCAGGGCATTGATCATGTGAACGGGGTGGGATTCTCTCCCAACAACAATGGTTATCTGGCGGCCGCCTCCGTATCGCGAAGGGACTGGGACCGTGCACAGGTTGCTGCTCCTGCCGAGGTATTCCCCGGATACCAAGGTATGCTCTAGCCCTGGTCGGCTATCGATAACGGCGGCACAGCCCTCCATCCTGAACGTTCCGTCCTCGTGGTAATCTCCGGTGTGGATTCCGAGGTATCTATAGTCGAACCAAGGGCCATGGCAGTGGGCCTGTGGCTGCGGAACCGGGGCTTGCTGCGGGATCTGGACTGCTGTCGGGGCCTGGCCCGCCGCCTCTCCCCAGTCGTCCAGCCCGTGAAGGTACCCCCCCAAAAACGCCGGGCTGAAGTCCGGGAACGGCGCCCCGACGCCGGATCCGAGGGCCGTAGGCGCCGAGGCTGCAGCTTGCAGTCCCTGGCCTTGTCCCTGACCTCGGTCCGCATACGCCGCCCCCGGATGTTGGGCGGCAGGGGTCGGGGCGGCCGACGTCGCGGGCTGGATGGGCGCAACGGGATGGCCCATTGTGGGTGGGACGCCGGCTGGGATGCCCGGGAACGCAGGAGAAGGGCTTGGAGCCTCGCTGGCGAGAGCGAGAGGAGCGGTGGCGGCATCGACAGCTAGCTGCCGGCGCCTACGGTCGTCTTGGATCGCGGGGTGCATCTCTGGCGGCGGCTGGCCTTTGCGCGGACGTCCTAGGTTATTTAGGTAGTCGGACACATCCGCTGGCTCCTTGCGCTTGGTCTCCCTGACCCCACTGGGGGAGGCGAGAACCGGCCGCGGGCACGGGGAGTCTGAACCGTTGGAGGGCGGCCCGCCGGTGGCTTGGGTGTGGTAATGCTGTGCCTCTCGGCTCCTGCTTCCGGGATTGTTGGAGGGCATCGCCACTCTGTAGGTGTTGTGATAGAGACCTTGTGTACGGGAGACTTCCCTCAGTCTAGAGGGGCGAACGGGATGGATTTAAGGGAGCGTTGGAGCCATACGAAAGAGACAGCAGCGAGAGACTAGCCCGGGGGAGAGCCGAGAGAGGCCCAAGGAGGGAGGAGAGGTTCAAGGGGAGAGGGGGGCCCGAGAGAAGAGAGAACGCCTAGGGAAAGTAGTAGCGAGGGCATGGGACGGACGTGGAAATATAAATTACCAGTTCCAACGAATAACGATATGGTCCGCAAACTCGGCGGGAGGGGATGTTGCAAAGTTGATTTACTTGCCACTATTTTGCGTCAACAGGTCCCTGCAGCAGCCGCCTTATTGACCTCCTACCAAAGTTGCCTTTTGCAGCGGTCGCATTTTCCGGACTGGGAGCCGTCGCCTTTTGGGCCTCGGAACATCCGCGATTGACCATGGCGGACATATAGAATAATACGTTGAGTTGGGCGGCTGCATGAGCGAGGGCTCTGAAGTGGAATTATCGCCCACTCGTCGGTTTTGCGACTCTCTTGGGAGATAGAAAGGCCAGCGCGCCGGGGGTAAAGGCATCAGGGGAGGACACCCTTCTAGTAATAGGCCCATGCCGGTAGGCCAACCCACTCCTCCATGAACGCCTTTTAGGAGAGCAGGGTTCACCCATCCCGTCCCGCACCCCCTTAGCTGCAGACCACAGCGTCACTCCTACCTCCCATCCATTGACCGTCTTTGTTCCCCCAGGACCACCGGTGAGCCTAGATTGCTCCATTGTTGGGGGGTGCAGACAAGGACACCGCGAACCATCCACCGCTTGCCGCATGTGAATTCATGAGCCAGGTCGCAGCCTGCCTCTCGCTAAGCTGCATACGGCTGACGCAGGCAGGGCGGCCGACTATGTGGCCGTGTGGTTGTCACCATACCTAATGGACTTGGTGGTGTGGGCCAGTGGCGTCCCCCCTCCCTTCCTTCCACCGTGACGCCCGGGCTGACAGCGCCGTTGCCCGGCCGGCTATCTAGGTAGTTGTGAACGCTACCTCGCTTGCGCGAGGATCACGGCGCTTAAACTGGCGCTGGTGATGTCTCGCCAAGTGGTTCCGCCCCAGACAACGATCAGCCAATGCTACTTGACTGTAGATTTTGAGGCCGAAGGCCTAAGAGGCCTGATGCCTTTGGTGAGGCTGGCCTCCTATATATAGAGGGTGTCTTGAGCTCCCAGACGACATCCATTGAGCCTTCTCCCATCGGGCTCCAGGGGCAGCTCGCCATAAGCAAGCGAAGTCTCTTAATCTAGAACTACCACCGTTTCTGCCCTCCCCGCAGACTGCAAGGTTAACCATTCCCAGCACCCCCCTCACGAGGTGAAGGCCGACCCACTTCGGCACGCGCGTATACCATAGGTCGCGACAGGCGGCTGACTGCCAGACCAAAAAAAAAGACTTCTAAAATAGGGACTCATGTCACGGAACACAGACCCAAGGGCCGTACCCTTACGACAACATAAGATAGGACCCAATCGCGGATCTACAGCCGGGCCCGGTCAGGACGTCCTTTTTTCTCCACCCCCTTCGGAGCCGCCATCCCCGCGGCCCTGGTACGCCGGCCATTCCTCTGCCTCGAGCGAGTACGGGACTCACACGCCCGCCAGCTCGGATTGCCAAGACGAGGGCGTCGCGGATCTGGAGACCGATCCGGAGCCTTGCCACGGACCCGCCACGCCAACCAACGAAAGCCCTCGTGGAAGCAGCGATGGCCAAGACACGCCGGGAGGGGGTGATACAGCCCGCCCCGGGAGCGACGCTGCAACCAGCAAGCCTTCCGGAGACGGCACCACCACCACCCCCTGCGGCCGCCCCAGCGAGCTGGAGTACCAGGAAAAATACGGCCCGCAGATCGAGGCCTGGCTGTCGGACCTGGAGCGCCGCGCGGCCCGGAACACCAACGTCTTCCTCAACGACGGCGTCACCCCTAACCCCGCTCGGGCGCCGTACGTATCGCTCGGGGGTGGTGGGGTGGCGGGGCGGGGAAACTGGGGCTCGGACGGGCCCGAGCCGTTCTGGCGGTGGTCCGTGCTGTTGCAGCGCTGGATCCACGAGGACCCCGCCACCGGCATGCTCCTCATCTACCCCAAGCAGCTCATCCATTAGCGCGAGAGCTCGACAGGTGGAAGCATTTCCCGTCATATTCCCTCCTCGCCTCCCCCATCAACTCTGGTTTAAAGTCGGAAGATTCGCGGGTTTCGATACGGGTGTCAGCCATTGGATCGTCGGGAAGGCACAGGACTCAGCTTGGTTCGTAGGCTTCACTGCGTCCGCCCGCTAGTGTCGTACAACATTAAAGGCGGAAGATCGCATGAACCGTCCCGGTTATCCGGGCAAGAACTATTGGATCAAAATACTGGATATTTCATAAGTATACAGAGTCAACAAGGAACTGCAGGTGATAGACGACGCCAGGCCCGCGGTACGACGTTTCTTGAAATTTTTGTTTCACTTAACTTCAGTCCGATTCGAGGTATCACAGCAGAAAAAAGAGCATAGTATGTCATTGGTCCAGTAACTCCAAGCATACCCATTCATGACAAACCCAGATGTGAAAAAAAGCCTAAAATAAAACACAAGGGGAATCATCATCGTCTTGGTCGAGGTAAAGAGAACCAACCATGCCTAACGGACGGACGGACGACGCCGTTGAGATACACTCCACGCGGCTCATAATCTCCAGCCATTTATGATTGCAGCTTCACGTAATTGCTGGGGAAGATGCCGTGCCGGCTCCCAATCATGCCAGTCCTGCCCGACGACATAGTCAGCAAACCTCGACCAATCGAGGGGAAAAGGGGGCTGCGGGGCGGATAGACGTACCACCAGTCATTGTCGCTGTCCGTCTTCTTCAGCACCGTGATGACGTCGCCCTTTTTGAACCCGAGGTCGCCGGGCTGGTCCGCGTCAAACGTGAAGAGCGCGACGGCCTCGTTCTTCTTGAGCAGCGCCTGCTTGCTGGCAAAGTTGGGCTTCGGCGCCGCCGGCCTACCGGGCTTGCCCGTCGCCGCGGCCGCTCCTGCGCTGTAGGTGTTGGACCTCGAGACCCCCGCCGCCGCCGCCGCCGCGCCGTACGCGTTGTTGTCCTGCCATGTGCTGGACCGCTTCGGCCCTCCAAACTCGGCAGCCTCACCCTTGGATGCGCCGGCGGCAGCAGCGCCGGCGGCGGCGCCTGACGACGGCGCCTGCTGGCCGCCCTCGCCGTATGCGCTGCCCTTGCGGCCCTTCCAGACGACGTCGCCGTGGCTCGCGTCGTAGCGCGGGGACTCGTTGTACATGTGGCTGTCGCCTTGGGTGCCGGTGCGGCCCACGCTCGTGAAGGAGCGGGAGTTGAGGATGTTGAGGAGCGGGCCGGCTTCGTAGGGTACGGGCTCGGTCCCGCTCAGCAGCTCGCGGGCGCTGATGGGCCGGCCGTAGAGCTTCGCGTTCGCATCCTTGCGCTCGATGATGGCGGACCCCTCGAGGGAGACGCCGGCAAAGAGGCCCTTGGTCTTGCTGTAACTAAAGATGGCGGCGACCGACCTCAGGCTGGCGGCGCCAGCGGCCTCGGCGTTGCGGCCGACGGGCCCGGCGGCGAGCGAGACGTTTCCGCCAAGGGTGAGGGATCCGGCCTGGGAAAAGGTCTTGATGGCGGCGGCGTCGTTGAGGATGAAGACAAAGTCGGTCAGCTCGAAGCCGATCTGGCCGCCGACGCCTGCGCCGCCCGTGGCGATGGCGCTCGGTGCGCTCCAGCCCCCATCGGGAAGGCGCGCAATCACCAGGCCGCTGCCGAACCTGGCGGAGCCGATGAAGCCGGCCTTGATGACGGTAAAGATGGCGAGTCCCTGGAAGAAGAGCGTTTGTTTTGGCGACGTTAGTAGTCCCGTTTGGCGTGCATGCAGAGGCGGCGTAACAACGGCGCGTGGATAGCACTCGCCTTAGCTTCGGCTAGAATGGACGGCGGGATGACTTTGTCGGGGCTAAGCGCCTGGCGAGGGTCGATAAAGGATGCGAGGATCTTGCCGCATTTCTTGCATTCCGCTGCCGCATGAACAAGGGAGTGAAAAAAGAAAAAAAACAGGGTTGGTCAGTCAGCCGAACCATATTGTCGGGAGCTGAGCTGCAACTGCGGCTGGCAGGCGCGAACGGCTCAAAACACGGGCATCCACAACTTACACGCCATTGACGACGGCAGCGGATTGTTGATACCCATCTTGGGCAGATCTGAACGGAGCGACGGGCGTGTGGGAGAAGAAGCAAAGGAGTGGAAGAGAGCGACTCTGTCCGGCCTGGGGAACGCTCAACGAGAGAGTGTGCGCGAGAATGAAGGCGCAAGAGTGAGAGCGACAGTGTTGGGCATCTAGGCTCGGCAAGGGGCAGGCAACAGCTCCCTAAGGCAAAGGTGTCACGCTTTATGTGCTCGATGGTGGGGTTCGCCTTTCTTGGGCGGCACGACGGACAGGCGCTTTGTGTGGAACCAAGACTCGACGAGATCCGATCGAGCCGGGGGCAGCAGCAGCTGTTGCTTAGGTGGTGTTGGTGCCGTGTAGGATTGCACGAATTTCCGTCAGCACCCTGCCTGTCTCCTGTCTGACCGGCCTTTTGTCTCTGCCAAACGGAGCCGGGATCGCACGACGAGGTGCCACATCTTTGGCTATTGAGATGATGCGTGTGCATAGTTCAAGTCTGCCATCTGACAGCTACCTCGTTGCTTATCACTCGCCTGGGCTGAGCTCACTCGTAAAAACATCAAAAACGTTCTGCTCAGCCCCTCACGCACGCGTCATGCCGTGCGTTTCCCCAATTCCCCGTTTGAATGCTTTCCCCGCCATCCATTCAAAGCGGGTCAAACAACTCCCAGGAGCCCCCTGTTCGCAAGCCACATCTATGTGGCTGGTACAGTGTTACCTGCACGTGTCCCAGCAGGGTCCCCGACGCCACATGGCCCGGCGTCCATTCGCGCCCTTTCGCTCGCCTGCTGGAGAGATCGTCATGTCTCGCCCCCCCTTGATTTCAACAGTCCAACGGGTACCGCCAACCGCATCCACATTCGACCGCCGACGGCCGGACTGACAACCGCGCGTCCACAACCACCGAACAGCTCAACACAAACAGTTGTCTAGAGAGAGTGTGCCCTTCACCACCACGACCCACCAACCAGCCCGGCTGCGAATGGGGTTGACGACCCGACGGAGCGAGCGGCGTTAGAAAGCGGCTCGGATCAGCAAGGAGAAGCAGCCGCCGACCACAAGGCCGCTGAATGTCGCGATAACCAACAACCCACAATCCCCCGACCCGCGCCGAAACAGACACAATGTCGGAATCGTACGAGCGCGAGCGCCAGAACAACGCTCGCCTGGAGGAGCTGTCCGCCAAGGTGTCGGCGCTCCGGGGCGTAACGGTAGACATCTACGACAACGCGCGGGCGCAGGACGTCATTGACAATACCGTGAGTCGCACATACCACGCACACCAACCATTCTTCCCCTCCCCTATTCTTACTCTTCTTTCCACCTCTAAAACCCATCCCTGTTCCGCAGTCCGACACCTTCTCGTCCATGGGCGCGCAGCTCAAAAACTCCACCAGCCGCATCGGCCGCATGGCCGCCTCGGGGAACAAGGTCGCCATCCTCAAGCTGTCGGCCATCCTCATCGGCATCTTCCTGGTGCTCTACTACGCCGCGAAGCTATTCTTGTGAAGAAAGTATTGCCGGAAATGAATGATAATAAAACAACCGTTTCTCAGCCGACCTGCCCCCGAAACCAGCCAGGCAGGATGCTGTCGCGGCGTAGCCAAATGGTTGCTGTTGTATAACACAAAGCATCCGGGTTCGAGCTTTTGAGCTTTTGGCTCACATACAGCCCACACTCCGGGTTCTCCGTTAGCGACGAAACGAAACATACGCATCTTGAACCCGGGATCCGACGCCCCCAAAAAGGATGCAACGCGCAGTTGAAGGAGCCCTGGCGGCCAGCGCGCGCGGCCTGGGTATTGAACAGAGATCCATCGGGGTGCCGTCTCCCATAGCTCGAGAGCATAGCACGGCGTCCGGGGTCTCCCTACTTTTGGTTATCGTTTTGCTTTAAGCGTGTGCGACGTTTGTCAGGATAAGATATAGAACAGATACGACATTTAGCTTTGCTTGCAGCTTGCACAATTGTACCCATGCTTCGAACACCAAGGAACTCAGAGACGCTTCTGTTGACTGTCGTCTTTCTTGTGTCTATAATCATGCACAATGGCCGAAGACACGCTCTTCCGAGATAGACTCCTTAAATGAACTGCGTGTGTATAAGTCGAGATGCAAAGAGCCAGACGCCGAGCATTCATATACAAAGAATCAAGACAATCCGTCCCCCAGCCACACCACCAACGATTCTCTGAGCAATGCACCCTTCTATCCGTCGCCCACCCCCAAACCACCGCCGCCACCACGATCAAGAGGGGCAAATCACTGCCACACATTTGAGAATAAGTCGTCACCGTTGCCCCCTGAACCTCCAGTAGCCCCAAACCCGCCTGCGGGCTTGGAGGTCCCACCCGTGCTGCTGGCCCAGCCGCCAAACTCCTCGTCGGCCGACACTTTGGGCTGGAATCCGCCCGAAGCCCCGGGGACGATGCTCTGGCCGGCCAGGCTCGACCCGCCGGCCGCGCTGTCCCCCCAGCCACCAAAGCCGCTGGAGGCAGCCTGGCTGGGTGCGGCGGGGGCGGGCTTGGCCGAGGCCCATGCATTGTCGTTGCCCCAAACATCCGAGGTAGACCAAGCCGACGACGATCCCATCGCCGCCATCGGGTTCGCAGCCGCAGGTGCCGCAGCGGGGGGCGATGCGGTCTGGCTTGAGAGGTTGAACACCGAGCTGGAGGCTGCGGGCGCTGCCGCCGAGGCGGCCATGGGAGTTGGGACGCTAGGTTTGGGTGCCGCGGCAGGCGCGGGCGAGGAAAAGTCAAACAGATCACCGAGGGCAGACGACGCAGGCACCGGCGCAGCCGCGGGCTTCGAGGCGGCGGCCGACGAGGAGAAGGCGTCGAAGTCGCCAAACGAGGATTTTTGTTGTTGACTTGGCTGGGCCGTGGCCGCCGGTTTGGCGTTAAAAAAGCCCCCACCACCACCGAGGCCAGAGAAAGCCGAAGATTGCTGTGGTGGCGGCGGCGAGCGGCTGCTGATGCTGCTGAGGCCAGCAAAGGCATCGCTCACTGGGCTTTTTTGCGCAGTCGCTGTCGAGCCGAAACTCAGGCTGCCAAAGGCGTCATTCATGCCGCCCACGCCTCCGCTACCGCCGCCCATGGAGCTCTGCTGCTGGAATGTGGGAGACTGCATGCCCCCAAAGGAGCCCGTGTGGCCGTGTGCCGGCTGCTGCGCAGCAGGTTGTGGGCGAGGAGCTGTCGCGTAAAGGGAGAGGATCGACTGCTTCAGGTCCGGGCGTGACTGACCGCCGGGGGTAGTGGTGGCCGGGCTGGCGCTGGACGGGCGTGGAGGGGCGACAGGCTCGTTGCCCAGAAAATCGAGGCCCAGGAGCGAGTCTCTGGTGCTGGTCTTGGGAGGTGCGGCGTCGGCCTTGGCGGGGACCTTGGATAGGGACGGGCTGGCACTACTAGCACGTTGGGGGATGGGATCGCCGCCGATGAGGTCTTCTTGCGGGGCAGGGGGCGCCGGGATGCGGCGCGGCGCGGCCGATTGGCCGACCGAGGCCTTGCGGACAGCCTCCTTCTTGTCTATGTTCTGCTTCTCCTTGACGATACTGAGGGGGATATCGTCGTCGGCTTCGGCGTCGAGGGTGGCGGGGTCGGGGATACCACCGTCCATGACCCAGCGCTTGAGTTCGTACTTGGTGCGGATGAAATTCTCGATCTTTGACTCGGAGGGCGCGTGACCGGCGGCCAGCTTGGACTCCCAATACTTGTTGGCGCGGGCGTTGCCCCAGCTCAGGATGCTCTGCAGCTGCTCGTCCGTCCAAGAGTCGAGATCGACCGACTTGACCCTGCTGATGTGCGTTCCCATACCGCGGTGGATGCCCGAGCACCGGATGCAAATGAAGACGCCCAGGTTCCAGCTGGCCCATCGAGGATCTGCGCGGCGACGAGTTGGCTGTCAGTCTTCGGTCTTCCCTTGCCATAGCTCAGCCGAGTGAGGGCGCCATACGTTTGTTCCTCTTGCAGTCTGCGCATATTTTGTTGGACTCGAGCTTCAGCAGGCTCTTGATTGTCAGCGTGTTCTGGGCCGCCCTTTCGGCGGCCGGGTTGGGCGCTCGTCTCGACATGGCGGCCGGCGGGTATCGATGCCAAATGTGCAAAGGAGATAAAGGCGACGTCCACGTCGGTCGAGCCGGTCGAGGGAGATGGCGGATTCGGGGTTGGCAGGTCGCTCTGGCTGGGCCGCCTTTTTAATTTCGGAACGCTGTCCGAGTCTTGGGCCTCGGGAACGCAGCTGTGCACAATAGGCGATCGTGTCAGGAGTCGCCCCAGCGTCGTACGGTGCGTGTACTATTATATACGGCTTCCCAGCACAGTGGAGATTGGATTCTAGCGTCCATCCCATTGATGACGTTTAAAGGCATCTCAACTAACTTTAGGCAAACGGGTCGTGGAGGAAATGGCCCCAGTATTTCATCTCTATCCAGGTTGGCCACTTCCTACAGGATCCTCAAAAAATAAAGCTGCGGGAGACAAAACAGTCTCGCAACGCCAAGCTGTTTCTCCATTGAAGAATTACACCAGAAGGGCGCTAGAGTCCTGTCTCATTACAACGTATGGAACGGCTCGTAACTACTCGATGAACAATCAGATGGCGTAAAAGTATATCGGTCTATGTGGTCGGTTGGTTCTCCTCCAGAAACTCAAGCCTCGGCTCGACGCGCTGATTCTCGTCCCTAGCTTGGGCTTGAAGTCGTTAACTCTCTTCCTAGTCTTCTTCCATAGTCTCCGCCTGCTTCCTGGTTGAATAATCTTTTGCTCTCGCCGTCCTGCCATATCATCCGTTTACTTTTAATCGCATATAGCAGTATGCTTATCTACACGTTTCTCAAGTTCGGCCGCAAGGCTTATTCTAAGTTCTCAGTGTTCTGTGCCACGACGCACGTCATCCGGTGTCGGACCCCATTTTCGCTGACCCCACTGGCTGCACCGCCAAGGAACCCCAGTGCCTGGCTCCATGCAACGACAGCTATCCAGGCCCTCGTCAGGGACCCAGCCACGCGTGACGCAATCACACTGCACTACCATGAACTCTCGGGGTTCACGCCAAACACAGAGAGCTTGCAACGTGAAGCAATAGGCAACACCGTCCGTGTCTGCCTCGCAGTGCCCAGTCACTGAAGGCAAACAGAGTGGATGAGAACCGGTTTACTCCCACCATCGCTGCCGCTACCCCGCACCCTCCTTCTTGCGCGCCTTCGCATCCCTCCCTCCCACCAGCAGAGAAACCCCACGCATCCCGCTTCGGCACTTGAGGCCCGGTTGGCGCCATATCCATGTTCTCACAGGTACGAATGTCTTGCCGATCGGGAAGCCGGACCTAGCGTCTACCTGTTTGGCTCCTGGCCTTGTCTGCACCTTGCTTCCCCTGCATTCACTGGCGCCCAAGAATTCATCCCGTATCTCTGCCATACAGAGTGCAGATGAAAAGGGAACAAAACATCACAAGACTCCACATACACTCGACTCCCCTGGACACCCATGTTGATCAAGTTCACGCCATGGTTTATAGAAGAAACCCTACTCGGCTGTCACCGTCACTATCGAGCGGTTGACCAGCGAGACATACGAGGAGGATGATCTGAGCGGCATTCCGGACCTAGTTGAGGTCATCAAGCTCCAGGGCTCGGGTCCCACCGAAGCCGCCCGCGCCATCCGCAAAAAGCTAAAGTACGGCAACGTCCATCGCCAACTCCGCGCTCTGACTCTCCTCGATGGCCTTATCCAAAACGCCGGGCCTCGTTTCCAGCGTGCCTTTGCCGATGAGCCCTTGCTGGAGCGCCTCCGCTTTTGCGGCACCTCGGAGCTGTCCGATCCCGAGGTGAAAAAAAAGTGTTCCGTCCTCTTCCGCTCCTGGGCTGCCGAGTACGGAAAGACGCCGGGCCTTGAGGGTGTCTCAAAGCTCTACAAAGTAAGTCGAGCATGCCAGCGCCCTTTAGGTCATCGAGTCGGCGCTGACAAAGCCGGTTAGCAACTTCCCCGCCGCAAACAAGCTGTGACCCAAGACCGGTCCGCGGTGCTGCGTGAGACGGAGCAGAACCCGTTCCAGCCGGGTGAGGATGCCAACACCGCAAAGTCCTCGGGCAATCCCGCCGGCCACGCGGGATCGTCCTCAGCTGGAGGTTCCCACGTGACCGGGCGTATCGAGTCCTTCAGCCACTTCGGGTCGAAAGACAAGAAGAAGAAGGACAAGGACAAGGACAAAGGAAAAAAGGCCCCGCGGCCATTCGACCTTGCGGCTGAGCAGGACCAGATGAAGACCACCATCGCCGAGTCCTCCATAGCAGCCACCAACCTGCAGAATGCACTGCAGACCATCAACCGGGAGAGAGAGCGAATCTCGGAAAATGAGGCCGCCGTCCGCCATTTTGAGGCATGCAAGCAGCTCAGACGGAAGATTCTCCGATATGTTAGTCGAGACAGCCAGCATCCGCCCTAGCCCCGCGCGCACTTGGAAGCTAACCTCCCCGTCTCGGGACTTCTCTTCAGATCCATCACGTAGAGTCGGAGGAGTGGCTTGGCAGTCTCCTCCACGCAAATGACGAACTCATCACGGCACTGATGACGTTTGAGCAGCTGGACCGCTCTATTGACGCGGACAGTGATTCCGACGACGAAGCGGCTGAGCAAGCCCATGCGTATCGGAGTAAGCTGCTTTCCAGAAGCGAACACTCAAACATTCACTCACGGCACGGAATGGTGCTAACCACAACTGGCGTCGGAAAATGTAGTGCTCCGCGAAAAGTCCAAGGAGCAGAGCTCCCCTACAAGCCCTGCCGGCCAGATGGCTGGGCTCAGTCTAAACCGCAGCCCGCCGCCTCCGCCGCGGCCATCAGCCCTTTCAAAGCCAGGAGCGAATCCCTCGAGCTTTAGGCCTGCAGCGCAGCAGCCTGAGTCAGAGGAGGAAGATGATGAGAATGATCCATTCGCCGATCGGAACGAGGTCGTGACTCCGGGGCTGGAGAAGACCCAGCCGCGATGGTGAAGGCTTGCAGTCGTTCGGGGCTGCGGCACGCTCTCACCATTAATCACATCATCTCTATACGTCCTTGTTTTCTTCAGTCGCGTTTGGGACATGGCTCCCATCCCCATAGGGCATGCCGCCGCCCATACGTGTGGTACCCAGGGCTGTGTTGGGCTATAGTCGTCCCGTCTGTTATCTTGATGCAGTGCTGTGTACAGAATTATGAGCAAAGAGAGCGGTTGGTCCTTCGTGTCTTGATGTGACTCCTTCCATTACGAAGAGGAAATCGCGCAGTGAGCAGCACAGCTCGTAGCCCAGGGTAGTAGAACACTGCTAAGTAGCCAACTCTACGACCACGAGGTTGGCGGAGGTGGACAAATGCTTCACAACAAGACAGATATATGTCGAGCTGCCGAGGTGCGATTTTGTAGCTTGCGTTCAGAAATGGCTCTTCATCGTGCATGGAAACAACTAAAGTTGGGTAAAACGTAAGGCGACGGACGAATGATATCTTAGGGTTCGATTCGAACGATTGGCACTTTGGGAGGAGAGGGGATAAGGAACTATCGATGTAATAAGTCGAAAAGAAGATAATGTAATCAAGACAAAAGATGGGAAACTCATTAGCAAGCTAGTGAGATAGGCAGCCCGAGGTACCTACGGCCAGATGACCACGACTAACGCCATGCCCACGGCATCTTAGTCGGGACGGCACCGCGAGTACTGCTGCCTACACCACACGCCACTGAACGGATGTCCGGCCGGGCTCGTGACGGACCCGCGCGTCTGGCAATCGCACAGCGTCGTCAGCGCCCGGGGGTCCGCCTGGTACTTCCTCTGGCAGTCATAGTCCATGTACTTATAGCTCGGGTAGCCGAGCCCCTTGACGGCCTCCCAGTTGTCCCAGCTGCGCGTCTCGGCGAGCACGTTTGCGCAAAAGGTGTTGAACCGGCTGTTGTAGTTGGGGCCGGCGATGGCCCACATCTTCCAGCAGGCGTTGTCCGGTTGGTGCCTGCACTCGATCTGCGGCGGCTGCGTCGGCACCGGGGCCGCCGGG